GCTCCCTCGAGCGCCGCGCGCTCGGGTTCCGTCGCAGCGCGGCCCCGGCCCCGGCCCCGGCCCCGGGTGTGCCCCGGCGCGCGGCCGAGGCGGCCGGTGAGTGGAGCGCGCAGGGCGCCGGGCCGGGCCTGGGCGGGCGGGCCTGCAGGCCCTGGGGAGCGCGCAGGCGGTGTCGCGCCGCAACCACGGGCGGGGCGGCGGGGACGCGGGCTGCTTCTGCCGGGGGCTCAGTCCAGTCCCGGGGCTGCGCCGGGGGTGCGTGCCCGCGACCTGCTCCCCTCTGCCCTTGCAGCCAGGCGCCGCAGGGCTTCTGTGCGCGGCTGTGCCCGTCGCCACTCCAGGAGTTTGCACCGGGATGACTCCTTTTATCCGCGCAGCCACCCCATGACATGCACCGTTATCATCCCCACGTTGCCGACGAGGAAACTGAGGCACGCCGAGATGAAGCACCTTCCGGGAAGTTACGCAGCTTGTGAGTAGTAGCCTTTATTTTACGGTTCTGTCGAGGACCGTTGGTACCTGCATATAGTAGGTGTTGACTTATTGGTGGAGGCTTTGGCAAATACTGTAAGTCAAATTCTGTGTTATCTCGAGCCAGTTTCCGCCAACACGGTTGCCTGAAGAGCAGATTTCAGTAGGTCTCAGGACGTCTCTGTTCTCGGGTTGAACTGAGGCTGCCTAGGCCCTCATGCTGATTCCTTTGTCCATCAGCAAAGACTCCAGCAAGCAGTCCGGCCAGACCAGAAAGCAAAGCACCTGGAGAAGAGCTATTCCATACCTTCCGAACCTGCTTCCCTCTGAGCGAGATAAATGCTTAATACGGAAGCGGGTAGAAACAAGGGAGAATTCTTGCTGGATTCCCAAGCGAAGAGGAAGTGGCATGGTCCAAAGAATTTCAGACGGTTAGGGTCACAGGAGGTGGACAGCGCTGTGAAGGTCGTCCCGTAAAAGCAGATTGGGTTTGCTGCAGCCCTTAGGACCGCTGTACTTGGGATACAGTATGTCTGTAGCAGTAAGGTGATCCCAATAACTAAAGTGTGAGGTAGGAAGGAGGTAAAGGGAGAAGGACTTGCCTCACTAAGGTGGAGAAGTCCTCGAATGGAGCCTGAGCACCGGAATGGCTGTAACCTTGTGGAGACAATAACCTCCTGGCCTCTCTGAACTACATCTCAGGGTTCCCTCCTGAGACTTGTCACACAGACCAGCCCTGCCTTCCTGTGCGTCCTCCAAAGCCGGGAAAAAGAACTCATCTGTCCCCACCCTGTAGCAACAGCTGCCGACGGGAGCCTCACAAGTTCTCGGAGAGCATCTGCCCTTAAATGTACACCCTCACAATTTTAAAATGAATTCTTCTTTTTTTTTTTTTTTAAAGATTTTATTTATTTGAGAGAGCGAGAAAGAGAGAGAGAGCACATGAGAGGGGGGAGGGTCAGAGGGAGAAGCAGACTCCCCGCTGAGCAGGGAGCCCGATGCGGGACTCGATCCCAGGACTCTGGGATCATGACCTGAGCCGAAGGCAGTCGCTTAACCAACTGAGCCACCCAGGCGCCTTCTTTTTTTTTTTTTTTTAAAGATTTTATTTATTTGACAGAGACAGCGTGAGAGGGAACACAGCAGGGGGAGTGGGAGAGGGAGAAGCAGGCTTCCTGGGGTCATGACCTGAGCCGAAGGCAGATGCCCAACGACTGAGGCACCCAGGCGCCCCTAAAATGAATTCATTTGAGGTATGCACAGCGGTCGTATCTCTTTATGTTATATATGAAATCCTTTATCATAAATGCTTTGCTATCTTTTCACTTGTAGCATTAACAGAAGCTTTGTAAGAAAGGACAAGCAAGTTGTAGTTATGCCATTTTACAGTGTGGGACCAGACTTTCAGAGAGGTGAGTGACTTGCCCAGGGATGCACAGCCCTACAGTGCTGAAGCAGCATCGGCTGCCTTCTGTTTTGATCCTCAGGAGGAATTAAGAGACTGTGTCAAACTCCATTTGAACTCCTACCCCATGGGAGGAAATTGACCAAGAGCCTGGATTTTATGTCAGATCACCTACAGACTTTAGGGAGGGTTTAGACTCGGCCCAGATCCATCCCCTTTACCTTTTATCATTCAAGAACTAGAGACTTCAGGTCAGAGGTCAATGTCTATTGTCCTTTTCTCTGCATCTGGGAGGAGGTAGGATTGCTTTTAGGCATTTGTTTTACCTCAATGCTTAAGGTTGCATCCAGCTGGCCAGATGTGACATTACTAGACCAGTGATTCTGGCTGCCTAGGATAGGACTTTTGCCAGCTTTATCTTTGACCAGAAAGAAAGCCAAGAGATGGTGGAAGGTGGAAGAGGGAAAGGCAACTGTCTACCTCACTGGAAGAGCTATGTCCCATGTAAGTTAAGGAGTCTTCCTTCTTCCAAGCAGGGGATACATTTATTTCTTTTCATAGAACTTCCCTTAGGTGAATCTGCCAAATTTTGCCCAGGATGGGACTGTTCTTCGCTTGCCTGCTGATTGCCCTTAATGTCTTCCTAAACACTCCTTTGCTCTATTTCATCATTAGGTGATTGAAGAACACCTGATTGGCCTGTTTCTTGAATGGTTTCATCCGAAACATGGACCTGAGGCTCTCACATGTCTCATGATTTGAAAAAGACTAGGCTCATATTAGTCTAATCCCCTTAGTCTAGGCAGACAGGTATGTGCTTTAGTGTTTGGCACTTAAAATTAAACTCCAGGAATCAGAGAGGTTTGTACCAAACGAGTCCAACATCTTCATTTGACAGATGAGGAGACTTAAAAACCAGACTGGTTATTTTCCCCTGTTTTTTATATAGCTATCATTAGAACTATAATCAAAATCCAGATTACTGGGACGCCTGGGGGGTGCAGTCAGTTGAGTATCTGACTCTTGATTTCGGCTCAGGTCATGATCTCAGGTTCTTGAGATCGAGCCCCACATAGGGCTCCTCAATCAGAGTGGAGTCTGCTTGATAATCTCCCTCTGCCTCTCCCCTGTCAAATAAATAAATAAATCTTTTAAAAAATCCAGATTACCTGGTAAATGCTGACATCACAGGGCCTCTTTCTGATGTTTCACTGATTTGTGCCAAGGATGACACCTGCACTGGGGCGGCTGGAAGATCTAGTGCTCAGGTTACATAGATAGGGCTTTAGCATGAGTGGGACTCGGTGAGCCTCTCAGGGTGGTCACCTTTCAGAGGCAGGCACTCTCTAAACCTCCATGGCACACTGTGGTTAAGGTCATGCTGGTATCCTGGGATCAGTGGGGGTTAGTTTCTTGGCCATTTAGGGGCCACAGGAGTGGAAAGTGCAGTGCAGGTGTTGGTCCCTAGTGAGTTTGAGTCCAGGATTTAACACTTGGCTTTGGGCCAAGTTACTTAACCTTTCTGTACCTCCGGTTCTTCATTTGTACTGTGGGGATAACAATAGTACCCCTGTCACTGTTGTGAAGCATAAATGAGTCAATATTCATAAAATGGTTATAAAAGGCAGACCCAAAAGACCTAAAGAATTTCCTAAGTTAGGTTCCTTTGTTTTAATGTAGAAACTTTCCCAGTGGGGTTTCTGTGTATCAATAATGTGTCACATTTACAAACATGAAGTGCATAATACGGTTATACATGTAATGAACTTATTTGAAATGCCCAAACAGCTACATTTTGGGACACTTGTACTACACAGTATACATACGAATTGAATTATATAGGTAAACTGATAGCACCTTGGCTCAGCTTACCAATCACCAAAATACTAATGAGCATGAAGGAGAACCCTCAACCTCCACCTGGCCATCTCCTTTGAATTCTGTCCTAGTTCTTTCTCTGTTCAGGGTATTCTGCTTACTTTTAGGTAGCCTATGTTTTCATGGTTCTAAAAAGACAATTTACAGGGGCGCCTGGGTCCCTGCTCAGCGGGGAGCCTGCTTCTCCCTCTCCCTCTGCTGCTCCCCCTGCTTATGCTCTCTGTCAAATAAATAAATAAAATCTTTTTTTTTTTTTAAGACAATTTACAAAGATCTTCAAATTTCAGATCTTCCTGGTTAGGGGGAAAACTTAAACCACCAAAAACCTAAACATTTTCTCAACAGTATCTCTTCCCTAGGATGAAATATAATATGTAATAATGTAGTAACATTCCCCTAGGAACAAAAGTCCCATTTACTATCCTGTAGTAAGACTGACAGATAATATTGATTGCCTATAGATATAATTTCCAAAATACCAATATATTACCTAACTCTGATACAAAGGAAAGTAATTTGTATTAGGATAGTATGTGTTTCAGTGTATACAGATGGGATGAAATAGATGCCTGCACCTACAAGAGCTATGGATACAACCCGATATATGAATGTTGTATTTTTGAATTTAATACCATTAAGTGGTTTGATTTTCCTGAAATGGTGAACAAGGCCTACAGAAAAAAAAAGAAGAATAGCAGAAAGAAAGAGAAGTATATTTCTTTCATTTTCCAATATATATCAAAGCTGTGCAAAATATTTTGTATCTCTGTAATGTTAGGTTCTAGCCTTAGGTAACTATTAACTTTTTTTTTAGAGTGGGGGGAGGGGCAGAAAGAGAGAGAGGGAGAGAAAGAATCTCAAGCAGGCTCCACGCCCAGCATGGAGCCCAACATAGGGCTCAATCCCAGGACCTGCAATCATGACCTGAGCTGAAATCAAGAGTTGGATGCCTTAACTGACTGAGCCACCTGGGTGCCGCTATTAAACAACTTCTTTGAAAGTCACTCCGGATCAGGAACATTTTTTTGTTTTTCAGGAATGCCCATTATCCCTGACCCCCACTAAATTCCAGTAACACCATCCAGTCAACATGACGGTCCAAAAAAAAAAACCCCTCACCAAATCCCAGAACTCTCCCCGGGAGGTAGCCTGCTGCCTTGAGAATTACTGTCATAAAAGAGAGAAATAACAGTGAATGGTCAACAAAATCAGGATGGCGTAGTGGGAGGATCTGTGCTGCAAGAATGCAGGCCAGCCAACCTAGCGATATGGCAAATTCCTACTAAGGAATGAGGGCACCATAAAGTATGCAACTGGATTGTACTGAGAGGCTCTAAATAAATTAGACTCTTAATCGGTCTAGTGGTAGTGCTTCTGTGTTCCCTGTTTCCAGTTGGAAGGCATGTTTTTGGCCACGCTGGATACGGACAGCATCATCACATTTCCTTTGAGGTTCTCCCTATGTGACATCTTGGTGGATGTCCTCCACAGCTCACCTGCACATCTGGAAGGGTCCCTGGTCTACAAGAAAGGAAATAACCTGTGAAACCAGATCATGTCCTAACCCAGTGGATCTCAGACTGTGCTGTGAGCAGAAGCATTAGGGGAGATGGTATATAGTTTGTAGCCGACTGTCAAGCACAAGGGCTCCAGATGAATCCACAAGACCATGGCTTAAAGAAAAGGCTTTCGGGAAAGTTAGAGTCCAGAGATGGGTGAGGAAAGACACAGATTCCCACATTCTCCCATTTTCCCAGCAAGAAGGCTGCTGTAGGAGGATGCCCTGTGGGTCACTCAGCATAGGTTGGTGTTCCGGGAGAGGACCCGCTGCTCTTACTCAGGAGGGCAGGTGTAAGAACCACCTGTCAGTGGGGAGATAGGTGGACGGCTTGGTGTCGGGCAGTCTGAATGGGGCACCAGCTGTGTGATAGGAGGTGTCTGAGAAAGCTGGCTGGCTACCTGGGAATCGTGAGATCCTTGGGAGATGTTGGCCCTGCTTGCAGAAGGGAGAAGCCACCTGTCTAGGGGTAGCTGAGTTTGTATTTTAGACCCTCCTGCTCTGTGAGGAACGTTGGGAGTGGGGAGCACATTTTTCAGGCAATCTACGGTATGTTTCTAGGCTTTTTGGACAGTTCTACTTGTCAAGTTATATGAAGTTATTAAATACAAATGCCTGGGCCCCGTGTCCTACCTACTAGGTCTGAAGCTAAGCCCAGGTATCTCGACTAACAAGTTCCCTGGGGGATCCTGATGTGAATGTGTATAACGTTCTGGAACCCAACTTTGCCCCCTTTCAGAAAGCCATTTTTGCCAGGCCCTCCTCCCACAGCTTCTGAAAGTTCACACCATCTTTTCTATAGATTGAAGCATTAATATTGAGCTCTGAATAGCCCTGTGTCTCCAGCACCCAAGCCTTGTGTTAAATCCTTTCCCATCAGCAGGAGTCCCAGCATGTGAATTGGACATGGTCATTCAGTCGGAGGGAGGACAGCTGTGGATGCTGGATCTTCAGGGCACTGAAGAGGGAAGTGAGCAAAAATACCTGTCTGGGTGAGTGAGACCATGAAAAGACCACCGATTCAATATTTAGGAGACATGAGTTCCAGTCTAAGTTCTTGGAATTCACCGGGTGACTTGTTAGTTTGCTTTCTATTTGTCAAGTAAGTGAGCTGTCCTCGGGGTACTCTGAAAGTAGACTTGTTCAGAAGAGCACCTACACTAGCTGGAAGGAGGGTCGGGGGGCACGGCGGGAGGCAGTGCTGTAGGCAGTGTTTCTGAAATTCTGTTCTCTCTCAATCCCAAGAAAATGACTGCATCCAAGCTTCACAGAATCATCCTTACTGTTTGCTTTTTTTAGGTATCTTTTCTACACTTAAGAGTCTACTGTTTTCATCCCTTTCCTTTCTCCCATTTACCATTGCTGATCGGCTATAATAACAGCTCATTTTACTTTCTAACCCCCTATTCTCTGCTCATCAGCTGGTATATCTGCTCGTCTCCATTTTTTTTGGCTCAGCGTAGTACCCAGTCACCCTTCCCATAGTTCTTGATGTCTCTGTGCTCCCCATGCCTATTATAAAAACTGCCTGTTATCTCTTCTGCTCCTGTTCACTTGCCTTCCGCTGTCCCTTTTTGTTTTCTTCCCATATAAAGTTGCTAGTGTGTGTGAATTGCAAATTTGTTGTCTTTTTTTTTTCTGCTTGTTTATTTTCCTTGCTCTCCATACTAGATGCAGATGACATTTGCACTTTAAATGTCTTTCAGATAGGGAGATGTGAACTGAGCCAAAGCATCAACACCAATCAGGCTATTTCTGAAGAACTAGAGTTTTCAGGGTCAGCAATGGAGAGTCTCAGAGGGAGTACTGCCCAAGGTCCTAAGAATGAAGAGGCCTATAAAGGTGAGGGCCGGTTATCAAGGCAGACAAAATGTCCTGTACAGAAGACATCCTTTGAGAAAACAGCAATCAGGAGAGTGTCGATGACCCTCAAGGAAATTTTCACTAGGGAGAGAGTTCCTGAATCTAGTGAATTTAGTCTAAGCTCAAAAGTTAATACACAGCAGAACATTCCAAAGGCAGCTAGATCCCCCATATCTAGGAAAAACTCCAAAGATAATTCGGACTTCATTAAACACCAAAAACTCTGCCCACAAAAGAAATCTTGTAAATGCAACAAATGTGGGAAAGCCTTCGGTTACCAATCAGACCTTATTGTCCACAGGAGAATTCATGGTGGAGAAAAGCCTTTTGAATGCAACGAATGTGGGAAAACTTTTAGCCGAAGTACACACCTTATTGAACATCAGAGAACTCACACTGGAGAGAAGCCGTACGAATGCAGTGAATGTGGAAAAGCTTTTAGCCGGGGCACTCACCTGAGTCTGCATCAGAGGATCCACACTGGAGAGAAACCGTATGAATGTGGTGAGTGTGGGAAAGCCTTCAGCCGAAGCACTAACCTCAGCCAACATCAGCGAACTCATACTCAAGAGAAACCTTACAAATGTAACGAATGTGGGAAAGCCTTCAGTGACCGTTCAACCATAATTCAGCATCAACGAATACACACTGGAGAGAATCCCTATGAATGCAGTGAATGTGGGAAAGCTTTCAGTTGGATCTCGTCTCTTATTGAGCATCAGAGGACACACACCGGAGAGAACCCCTATGCATGCAGCAACTGTGGCAAAGTGTTCTCCCGCAGCTCATCCCTCGTTGAGCATCAGAGAATCCACACTGGAGAGAAGCCCCACGAGTGCAGAGAATGTGGGAAGGGCTTCAGTCGGAGCTCATCCCTTATTATCCACCAGAGAACTCACACCGGAGAGAAGCCTTACAAATGTAGTGACTGTGAGAAAGCCTTCAGCCAGAGTTCAACTCTCATCAGACATCAGCGACTTCACACTAAAGAGTAGTATTTGAGCTTTTTCATTAATGTTAGCGTAAGAGCACACAGCCTTCGCGTCCTGTGCCTGCAAAGAACAATAGGTCCATCTTGGGAGTTTTCTCCTCTACTAGCTAGCTATAAGCCCGTTTCAAGTCAGCCTTCCTTCCTTCCATTCTGTAAACTGGATGCTCCAGTGAATGAGTACAAGGGGTAACTTTAAGAACCTCACGTATTGCATCTCCTCTTCCAGACGACTCCAGCCTTGGAGTTTAGACCCTCCTGACACCTTGTATTTGCTCCCTTTATCTATTCCATGGGGCTTGGGTCCCTGAACAGTCAGTGAACCTTGTTTCCCGACCACATCAGCCCCTTTACTTAAAGAGGAAATCCTGTGTATGTGCGTGCTGCTGGTTCCAGTAGCAGAAAAGGAGCTGGCTTCAGAACAGGACAAAAAGCTTCCCACCAGTTTGGTGATAATAGTGTTGAGGCAAATCCAGTCTCTCATTTTATAAGGACAGATTTTTCTCTTAAACCTTTTTTGCTATAGCATATTTTCCTCAAAGTATAAACCATAGTTCTAATGTGCCTAACTAATCCTAGTGTATTTTATCTTATCCTCACCAAAAATGTCCTGACACTTACAGTGAGTTCTTCTGTTATTTAAAAAAAAATTGCTTCCCTAGTTTTTAAATTTTTCTTCTGTTTCTTCTTCATGAAACTTATACCCTCTGGTTCAAACTGTCACCAGTCCTATAAAGCTGATCTCTCAAGGACAATTCAGTGCCTATTTCTTAGTCTTTTTCCTACTTGATATTTGCAGAATTGGCACTTTGGGCCACTCTTATGCCTTAAAATTTGAGCTGCTTCTGGCATCCCTGATTCTGTGCTGATCCACACTTTTCCTACCTCCCAGCACTCTCTGATTAACAATGATCAGCTCTATAACTTTGGGCAAGAGTTCGACCAGAATGCTCTCATTTTATCAGGTTATAATACTTGCAGTCACTCAATTAGATTGTAAGCTTTCTGAAGACAAAGGTCTTTTCAACCCCTGTGAAACATCCGTAGTGCTGAATAGTCACTAAATGACCTATAATTACTGCCTACTTTATCCCAGGTAATCAGTCTGCAAGATTTTATTTGAAGTGGCTTACGAGTTGATTTCTTTCTCTGTTCTTAGTGCTGCTGGAGTTTGGGCCCAGATTACGGGAGTCAACACTGCCCTTGTCTTCTTTATCTAGCTGCCTGACTAAACCACCACCTTGTTCAAAGAGTCCACGGTTCCCAGGAAAAAGATCAAACTGTTTAACTCCAAGGCCTTCCACAGTTAGATCTACTTACCCATTTCCATTACTGCCTGGTGCCTGTAGGCAGCCTGTCCTTTGTGTCTGCTATGCCCTCTTCTCGCACTTGGCTTCCTTTCACACGATTCTTTGGCACCCTTTTACATGTCCTGCTTTCCTCCTTGTGTCTCCAGAAATCCTGTCCACGCTCATAAGAGGCCTTGCTCGAGTCCTGCCTCCTCTGACACTTTGGGTCCCCCACCTTTGAAGTCCTTTGCAGTGGTGGTTTCCATTTATTTTCGTGCATTGCAAACTTTCCTATTCTGTTTTCTGATTCTCTCAGCTGCTTTTTTCCCATAAGCTTCTGAAGTTAGAAATTATCTTAAATTTCTCAGAAGCCCCATCTGATACATGGTATGATGCAGGTCTGGACTCTAGTTTTAATCTAAACCAGGAGGGTTTAATTTAATACTGCAATCTCTTTAGTCTTTTGAATGGAGAGATAAGATCATAAATATTTTGGTCCTTTTTGTCCTACCTTGAATTATGTAAATTCACTCTTGGGACTAACTCTCCTTTAGAGCTCCTGGGATGCTGGCCTCTTGGCTTTCCATTTCATGAGACTGTTGTAAGGAATAAGTGAGTTTATTCATGTAAAGTGATGAAAACAGTGCCTGACATAAAGTAAGTGCTCAATAAATGCTAATTGTTATGATTCTGCTGCACATCAGCCTATGGCCTTTCATTTCATCCCTTGCAGGGTAAGTCCATCACCAGCAATGGAAAACTACGATTACAGTCAATTAACTTAGAAGACATTTCTGCTAACGGTAATAACAGGCAATAGCCATCTGTTTTATTATAACTGTCGTGTCAAAAAGGACTCAAGATAGCTTATATGATAAAATAGAAAATGAAAACACAAAAATCAGCATTAGAGGGGCGCCTGGGTGGCTCAGTCGGTTAAGTGTCTGCCTTTGGCTCAGGTCATGATCCCAGGGTCCTGGGATCGAGCCCCTGAGTCTGCTTCTCCCAATCCCTCTGCCCTTCCCCCTGCTTGTTCTCTCTCTCTCCCAGATAAATAAAATCTTAAAAAAAAAAAATCAGCATTAGAGAAAGGAGAAAGCCTAAAAGATCAAGATCAGGACAAGTTATGGTTATGCTGTAGTTATCCAGATAGAGGTGCAAACAGCATTCTGGCAACCAAAGGGGGATGGTCATTTGCTTACTTTGAATTTGGAAAGAAAAAAAAAAGTCCATTCTTCAAGGAAAGATTTTTTTTTTTTTGACCACTCATCTTTGGTCATCTCTTCTCATGCATTTTTTTTTTTTTAAGATTTTATTTATTTATTTGACAGAGAGACACAGCGAGAGCAGGAACACAAGCAGGGGGAGTGGGAGAGGGAGAAGCAGGCTTCCCGCGGAGCAAGGAGCCCGATGTGGGGCTCGATCCCAGGACCCTGGGATCATGACCTGAGCTGAAGGCAGCCGCTTAACCGACTGAGCCACCCAGGCGCCCCGTCTTATGCATTTTTTTATTCTTTGCCATCATTGTAATGAAGTTTCCAGAGGAAGCAGAGATAAGCACAAGGTTTATTCTCCATTTTCAACGTATCCGCTCTGTCCCCCAACTAGTGCCCTCACCCCCACCCCTGCCCAACAGCCTGAGCTTTGAGGTGGCCTTCCCTGCCCCTCCTCCACCACCCACCTCCTGCAACCACCATGTACATCCAAACCCAGGGGCCTCTCTCTGCTCCTTGCCTGCACCTTAGCAGCCCCAGAGAGGGACAATGACAGATGGGCAGGCAGACTTCCAAGTTCTTTATACCCAAGTTCTGAGTCAGGGGTACCCCTGGCACACTGTGCTCTTCCCTGACTGTGCCTTTGCAGATGCGCTTCCCTCTCTCTCTCTCTCTCTCTGTCTCTCTGAAACTCCTCCAGCCCCAGCCCTGCCTCTGGGCATGTCTCCCTGGTGACTCCTACTCATCTGCAGCCTGGGACCCCTCTCCCACTCTAAGCGGTACACACAGAACTGGTGTTCTCTGTCCGTTCAGCCCATCACAGCCAGGATCTTACCGCGGTCTACAAACATCTGCAAAATGGGTGTGGCACCCGTCCTCCTCACCAGGCTCCCCTCACCTCCCCAAAGCCACAGTGGGGTGAGAAGGCAGCTTGCAGTGTTGCATGATGCAGCAAGGAGTTCTTTTCTTCCCAAGCTGGCCAAGCCCTGAGCAGGCACCGAGGCCAGAGGGATCCACTAAAATCCTAAGGGCCACACTACACCCCAGCATAAAACCCACTCATGGCTACTCGGTGCTGCTGGGCTAAACTCCAAATGCCTGCAGGGCCCACAGATGTTCTGTGGGCCCCAGTCTCCGCTCCCTGCCCCCACCTCGTTTTTCTTTCAAGGAAGCCAGAGTCCTCCCAGTCTCCTGGCTAACTGCTCGGAGAACTTTCCTTCCCTCCACCCCCAGCCCCTTTACAGATTCTGTCCCAGAGCTTTCCTAATAGATTTAAGATGAATTTCTCCATTTGTCTGCATGTAATTATACAATGCATTTGATATCAAAAAATAAAAAATAATATATTCTCCACAACACCTAGCATATAGTAGGTTCTCCAGTGAACAAGTATTTAATTCATAGTGGAAAGCTCAGAAAGGTAGGGGTGAAGATTGTTCTTCGGGGGAGTGGGGTTAGAAGGAGCAAGGCATACAGTTGATAACCACATGATACCTGGGTGCCAGAAGAAAACCTCTTTTTACCCATTTGAGTCATTTAATTTCCTACCTTAAGGGATGAAAAAACTGACCTTTACGGATGTGAAATAACTTACCAAAGACCAGGATTTGACCCCAGTTCTGCTGACCCTACTGGACTTCTTAAGGTGGACGCTGGCAAGGTCTGGAAAAGAAAGAACTGTGAGTAAAGGCGTGGAGGTGGGGAAAAGTTCCAGGAGATGGACTGGACTGTCTGTGGCAGGGAGTTCGGTGAAGTCGGTAATGAGAAAGCGGACTTGGAATCGGGTTAACTTGGTGATGGCCGCCTCCAGTCCTAGATCGTGTTTGGGTTTAACGAGGGAATCACAGGAGGTGACTGATGAGGCTGATTAAGTGTGGCTTCAGGGAGAAGGATTAATCTGGGAGAGGAGACAGGATGGTTTGGACCTGAGGGAGGGTAGGCAGAAGCTAGGTGGGAAGCTGGCGTCTTAGGGTGGTGGTGTTGGGAATCGAAGAGCATCCACCGGGTGGATGAAGAAGCGGTGCCTAGATCCGGACCCGGGACAGGAGCGACCAGAGGCTGCGTTCCTTAACTGCTGTGGTTACTTGCCCTGTAAGTGACCTGCACCCGCAGGGAGGGGTTTGGGATGTACCCTCGGTAATACCAGTGTCGGCTCTCGGGTAGGATTGCCTTGCGTCTTTTCAGTTAACGTGGAACCAGAAACGTTAGGGATTTCCCGTGGGGAAGTCGAGTCACAGGGACGCGTGATTGGGAGGGGTCCACGTTTGCGGGGAACAGTGCGGAGTCTGCCGGAAAATCCTGTGAGGCGCTCCCGCGGCAGGACGCCTCCCGGCTGCACGCACACGCACACACGCGCACACGCACGCGTGCACACACGCGCGCATACGCACACGCGGACACGCACACGCGCACACACGGACACGTGCATACACACTCATACCCACACACACGAGCACACACAGACACTTGCACGCACGCGCACGTGCGCACACACGCACACATATGCACGCACGCGCCGCGGTCGCTCGCGGGCCCGGGGTGG